ATGGAGTCAATTTTCCTCTACCCTTACATGTGTTCTGGGGAATGAATTCAAGCCAAGAGGCTTACATAGCTTGCTCACTACCTGCTAAGCCACCTTTCTTGCCTTATTTTTGTTACTTTTATGATTATCCCCTTCAGTATAAATAAGCTTGATCAGTATTTTACATATTTAGTATTTTTTTTGCTTTTTTCTTTAATTTGACCATTCAGAAACTTTTAGTCCATTCCAGTCTCCTTTTGTTGAAGTTCTCTATTCCTGTTAAATGTTAATGTATTATTATTGTGTGTCTGTTTACTTTGTACTTTTATTATTTGACACTAGGGGCATACAGTTCTTCTGTTGACATTTAGTATACTTTTCATGGCATTTATGGTACTTCTGAGAATGTGTTTAATATATTTGAAGAGTATGTTATGATTCACCACTTTTTCTTAGAAACCTTTTAAGGGTTTGCAGACATAGGTTATAATTTTTTTTCAATAAATTTGGGGAAAATACATCAAATTGAGAAAAACAAATGATCTAGAATGTTGATATATTAAAACAAAGCATAGGGTTGAGGTGTATTTCAGTGGTAGAGTGATTGCCAAGCATATTCAAGGCCCTAGATTCAATCCCTAGCATGTCAATGAAACAATTCTAAAATGCATTGAAGACACTTAAATAATAACTTTTTTTTACATTATTTATTTGCACATTTTGTATTTGGTTGGATTTTTTTGTTTCTATTGTGTTTATTCCTACATATTATTTCAATTTCAAATCAAAGCCATATTGAGGGGCTCCTGCAAGTATTCAGGCAGGAACACAAACCCACGAAGAGCTGAGAATGAAAACCTGGCGCAGATTGCTCTCATAAACCTGGGTGTTGGGGAGGCCAACGCCAGGCCGTTTGTTGCCGTCATATTTAAAACACAGGACAATTCGGTGAAAGGTTTCTAGGCAATAATCAGTCCAGTCAGTCCTATTCCAGGTACACAATAAAGCTGAAGGTATAGCTACAAAGAAGCTCTTTTACAAAGTACATGTGACCATGAGGGTGGGCTCTATACCGAAAAGGTTAAAATCGAGTGTGGTCCATTATATACAAATAGCATAGAGCACCAAGTACCTGTGACATCTTCCCTAGGTGGGGAAGAGTCTGAAATAATCGTTCTGGGGAATTTGGGTGAGGTCTGCCTTTATAGCAAAAGGTGGGTGAGGTCTGACTCCAGAGATAGCAATAAGGTCACCAGGTCTTTAATGAAACCCACTCCCAGCTTTCTGTATAGAATGAAGATAATTTGATTTTATCTCCTCCACTGAGGAGACACCTCTGCATGATTCCTCGTTCTTTAGTGCTTCTCTGTGAGTACAAGGTCCTCTGTGCCCACAACACTATATTCTGTTAGCTAGTTTGCTTTGTTCTGTTTTTTGATTTGTTTTTCCTTATTTTTGTTGTTTGTAGACAGGATCTCCTGTAGTCTAGGCTGGCTTTAAACTCCTGATTGTTCTGCCTCCACATCCTGAGTGCTAAAATTACAGACATACCCTTATGTGCCAGCTTTTTCTTTGTTTTCTTCACAAATATTCTATTGCCTCATGACTTAAGTGCTTTTTATTGTTTGTTTATTTGTTTGTTTGTTTTAGACAGGGTCTTATATATTACAAGGCTGGCCTTGAATTCCTGATGGGTACCTTGTGTTAGTATTTAGGCTGCCTGCTTCTGGGTTGCCTAGCAACCTGTGATGTCATCATGTGTTGCCTGCCAGGTACCCACACCTGGCAAGCGTGGTTCAGTTGCTCCATGAAAGGATCAGCCTGACACTTTGTCTCTCTCTTGTCTTCTTACTCTGTTGCTCTCCTGCTCTCTCCCCTTTCTCTGTCTCCCTATCATGTCTTGCTCTCTTCTTCTCCTCCTCATCTCCATCCATAAACCTCTTTCATATAAAATCTGCATGATTGGCCCTAACACCTTGAGCTCCCAATTCTCCTGCCTCTACTTTGCAAGTGCTGGGACTATGTACTGCCATGCTCTGTTTAACATTTCACTTTAAATCTTTCACCTTTCCTAGTAAGAATATTCAAAACTTTCCTTCTTAATTTGATTTTTTTTTTTTCATTTCACCATCCAGCTTCAGAAGATTTTGTTTTGAGTTGTCTGTTTATAAATATGAGACTCAGGCTGTTCAATTACAGAAAGTTTTCTATTCTAACTTGCAGTTCCTGTGTTTGCTCATTTGTATTGGGCTAAGGGCGTTCATCTTCTCTTACAGTAGTTGGTCTTCCTTGTTAGTGGCTGTCTCATCTCTTAGCTGGTTACTGGAGCCTTGTTTTTTGTTGTTCACTACATTGTACATTCTTATGCCACAGTAGGTGTCAGGCCAGTGGATGCGACAGCTGCACACAAACAAGCCATTCACAGATCCTGGTTGCAGGCACCTCCTTTATCAATAGAAGCAACAGCTCATTTCCCTGTTTTGTTCTGGTCCAGCTCTTTGAAGTGTGAATGGTTCAGCCAAGTCTAAGATGTCATAAAAAGGAAACCTCTCCCAGAGGAGAGAGAGAGGCACATCTCCTCTCCCAGAGGAGAGGAGAGGCACATCTAAAGTCTGATTCTGGGAGATTCTTAAGATGTCTTTTTCTTTCACCTAGCCTATCAAAAAAAGAGAGGATAGGTCTTATCATGGGTGCCTGCATCAAACACGTTGCCTGGCTTTACCTGTATACTTGTGTAGATGGATAGAAGAAAGAGCCGTAGGCCATCGTATCTTCCGCATTCAAGAAGCTACCTTCTCAGAAAACCCAGCCTATCTGACTTGTGTGCTCTGGCGCCTCTTCTGTCCTCTTTCTAATCTCACAGTGGGAGTACTGAGGTCATAGAGGTGTGCCACTGTATTGGGCTTTCGAGCTTTTTATTTAAGTAGGGTCTGAGAAGGGAACTCATTTTCAGGTTTGCGTGACAAGCACTTTTACCCATGGAACCGTTGTGTATCCTGTTGATTTTTGTTTGGCTCACCTGAACCTCATTGTTATGGTGACCAGGCTGGCCTGAATTCATCTTAAGGAGACCCACCTGCCTCTGCCTCTTAAAGGGGTGTACCAGCATGCCCAACAGTTCAGTGTGTTTTGAATACAGCTCTATAACCACCAACACAAAACAGAATACTTCCATCACCCTAAAAAGTCCCTTTGTAGCAGCTTCTGTCTTCCCACTCACAATTCTAATCTGCTTTTTGTTGGTTATTTTGTCTTTTTTTTTTTTTTTAATTTAAAGAGATTATTTATTTTTATTTTATGTGTGTGGATGTTTTGCCTCTATGTTTGTCTGTGCCCCACTTGTATGCAGTGCCTATAGATACCAGAAGAGGACAACAGATCCTCTGGAACTCGAGTTAGATTGTTGTCATGTGAGTGCTAGTAATCAAACCCAGGTCCTCTGGAAGTGCAGCCTGTGCTCTTAACTGCTAAGCTATCTCTTCAGTCCTGTTCTTTTTCTTAAAAACAACAACAACAACAACAACAAAAACCCCCAAAACTCACTTCTTTTTGGTTCAAAATGGAGAAAGCAAGTTATAAGTTTTCTGTTCGTTAATCTTCATTATCAAATTGTCTGGGTTTAGAAACACCTAGGATGTTGGTGAAGTATACCCTAGGCCTGGGGAGATGGAGAGAGTGGTTAAGAGCATTTACTGCTCTTCCAGAAGGGGTTCAATTCTCAGCACCCACATGGTGGCTCACACTGTTTGTAACTCTAGTCCTAGAGGATCTAACACTGTTTTCTTACCTTGAGAGCACTACATGCTGTTAGGATCCAGAAGATGAAAGAACGATCCCAGACTCAAGTAGCATGCAAGCAACAAAAGGCGTTTATTCTGCAGAAGACCACCATGCGGGGGCCACCATCTGGGCAGAATGGTTGTGCAGGCCTTTTTATAGGAAACGAGGGGATCTCAGGGACAGTTAGGTCATCTTTACTGTGATTAGCGCAGGTCAAAAGCAAGGGTATGAGTGCATCTAGGGGTTGCGGGGGTTGGGGGGAATAGTGTCTCTCAACTGGTTCAAACTGGCTCAACCTGGTTAATTCCAGGGAAGTTACAACGGTCGACTCCCGTCTGTCCAGGGTTGATGGGCTGCATTCCTGAGGATAAGGCTGCCAGCACAGATGCCCCACCCTGAGATAAGACCTCTTTTTTGTGTTTATCGCCAGGCTGTTCTGTTGGTAGGGGATTTTATGGTTCCTGGAATTGGTGACCTATGGCCTAGTTCCAGGGACTGATGACTTTTGGGGTAAGGGGTCAGGCCTGGTCCTCTCAGTGCAGACATAGTGCAGGCAAAACACCCATACACATTAAACAAACAAACAAACAAGCCAAGTGTTGTGATTCACATCTTTAATACCAGCTTCTGGGAGGCAGAGGCAAACAGATCGCTGTGAGTTTGAGGCCAGCCTGGTCTGCAAAGCAAATCCAGGACAGCCAAGCCTGCACAGACACCCTGTCTCGAAAAAAACCCAAACAACAACAAAAAACAAACATAGTTTATTTCCACCAGTGATTGTCAATAAAAGAGGTAAGTTTGGCTGAATGTTAGCATTTCTCCTGTAATCGTATTTTCGTCAAATTATGCAGAAAATAAAAATGTCTCTATAATAAAATTATAACATCAAGGGAGTCCTGGAGATGCGGAGGTGGGAGACTCTTGTATCCCGAGCCAGCCCTCTCAAAACACAGAATCATGGTAGAAAATGAATATCCGGGAGTCCTCAATGATGTAGTTGTAACTCTGTAAATTAAGGGGAAGAGACGTTTTTTCCTGATCACAGTGCTGTAGGTGACAAGCTTAGAGTGCTTGCCTTTCCGGAGCTACAAGGGACCAGTGAACCCTGAAGGGCTTTCAGATCAGCAGTGCGTAGCAGCGCCCGAACTTCAGCCTGCGTGCGTGCGCAGCCCAGGACCGGGGTATGCGCATGCGCATTCGCAGCAACTATGGCTGCCGAGTCCCGCCCGCAGTGAGTGCTGTCGCACCTGGCGCCGTTCTGTTCTTTAGCTTCCCCTCTGAGTGTTGTGCAGGAGGAAGTCGAAGGGTGTTGGAGGGGTGGCGTGCAGAGCGTCTGCGTCGGGCTTCACGGGGGTCGTGGCCGTTTCGGGCTCACCCAAAGGGTGTGACCGGGGGCGGTGCTGTCCTCGCGGGTGTGCAAGCCCCCGGGTCGGAGGGGTTTCTTCCTGGCTGGTGTGGACGCTTCTCCGTGCTTCTGTCGGGTGAGGCTGTCCTGGCTCTTTCCTCTGTGTTATTCATATGGGCCCAGTGTTCTTGTCTCGAGGCCAGCCGTTCCCGAGATCCTTTGGGCGCCTGGGCCCTTCTGGATCGGGCGAGGCTGTTTTCCGTGTAATCTAGGTGGTTTTCCCTTCTCTCTACTGATACTTGCAAAATCTAACTTATTTATATATGTTTGTATCCAGGAAGGTTCATGTGTCCATCCCCTGCCTTCTAGCCGTTTCGCCATCTCCTCCTTGGTTTTCAGTGGTTTTATTTCCCTGTAAAAACACGCCTTTGTCCAGCCCTCTCCAGTAATTCTTCATTCTCCCTCTGCTTTCTCTTCCTGGTCTTGTAAATTGAAAGATTTCACACCCAGAGCTAAATTGTAGGCATAATTTAATAGATACAAAACCATACAGATTATCAGGTTATTAACACTTGGCTACATTAGCTTTTCCTTTCCCGGTGTTAACAAGCTCACTATATTTTGCACACACAATGAGTATACACAGATAAGACACAGGCATATATTAATATAGTGTTTGTGTGTGGCTGGATTACTAAAAGTAGTACTGTAGATACTGTGACATTACAGTTGGAAATTTTGTTAGTAAAGATTCTCCTTAAAATATGAAATTTAAAATACTTTTTTAATTTTTGGTTTGTTTTTTTTTTGCCATGAGCGAAGGAGCAGGGGTATCCTACTAACCTCTCTGGCTGCACCCTGAAGAAAAATGTTACTCTTGAGGGCTTGGAGAGACTGCTCTTCCAGAGGACCTGAGTCTCCCCCGCCCCTACCCCTAGCATTTAAGTCGGTCCAGTCATACAGCGCTTGTAATTCCAGCTCCAGGGGATTCACCCAAGTATCCAATGTACTATTCTGGCTTCAGATAGCATCTGAATGTAGGTGGCATTCACTCACATGGACACATGTGTACACATAATAAAAATAAAAGAATCCTAACTGCCCATTTTAATTCTGAAGGAGACACCAGGGTTACTAAGTCACGCCTGACCTATGATAGAATGTTGTTCGGGCCAATCATTACACAAATTTATATGAAAAATTAAGTTTGTTTTCTTAATAGTTTTAAGATTCATTCTAGGATAATGTGTGGTGGTAAGTTTGTCTTTGCAGTCACATTCAACTGTTAATGCTATTGCTTTTATTGAGAATTTTGTAATATTTTGACAGATGTTTCTTAAAAACATAGCTGGTTATTTTGTAGGGCATGCCTCTGTTCGGTTCATACTGACATTAATTTTTTCAGTAAAACATATGAAGTGGCCATTCTTTGACCATGTAGCTAAAGTGCGTGCTGTCATTAGTAAATCATTCTTTGGGATGCTACTTTGAATTCTTTTGTTAATTTTTTGATTTTCAAAAACCTAATATTCCTGGTTTTCATCTTTTTTTTTTTTTGTTTTGTTTTGGTTTTTTGAGACAGGGTTTCTCTGTGCAGCCTTGGCTGTCCTGAACTCACTTTGCAGACCAGGCTGGTGTCAAACTCACAGAGATCCACCTGCCTTTGCCTCCCCAAGTACTGGGATTACAGGCTTGTGACATTGTTCTCAGCTTTACTTGTTTTCATGTAGTCAGATGTTTAAGGTTTCTTTTGAGGGTGGTATTTTTAGGCCCTTTGATTTTTAGAGAAATTTGTCTTTATCCTACTAACATGGATAAATCCTTAGCTCTGTATTTTGCTTTATCTCTTTTCTTAACTCTGTATTCTCCCTTACCCATCTGATCCGCCCCCGACTGTGTGTGTGTGTGTGTGTGTGTGTGTGTGTGTGTTTGTGTATAGTTTTGAACTAAGCGCCTTGTATGTGCTAGGTAATCACTGTCATTGTGCTACCTTATTTAGCTCCATTATTTTATCCTATGGTTTATGAAGCTCCCTCTCCCATTAGTCTCTTCTCCATAATTTTATAAATGTGTGTGAGGATGTGTTTGAATTAGGACTTGGAATATTTTTCCCCATCTGAAAAAGCAGTGAGAGAAATATGGTGATGCATTCCTGCAATCCCAGCAGTTGGGAGATGAACAGTTTTATACAATGTTATCACAAGTTCTCTCCTGAACTTGTACTGTACCATCAGTGTGCCAGCTGAGGAGTAGGCCAATAGATCTGACCCTGGTGGGCTCAACACACTTGAAAACGATGACAGTAACAACAAAAACCTGACTATGTGGTTATACCACATAGTTTATCCTTGTAAGGTATATAATTCAGTGGTATTTTTTGTTTGGTTGGTTTGGTTTTACTTTTTTGAGACAGGGTTTTACTATATAGCCTTGGTTGGCCTAGAATTTGCAGTTTGGATCAGGCTGTGCTTGGACTTGGAGATCTACCCATCTTTGCCTCCTGGTTGCTGGATTGAAGGCCAACACCACCATGCCTGGAACATTTACTCACCCCCCCCCCACACACACACACAAAAGGAAACCAATACTCATTAACTCTCACTTTTATCTTCTCCATTTCTCTTTGCTGTAGCCTTTTTTCAGGTCTGTTTTGGAGATTCCATATAATTAGTTGTAGAATTTGTGGTCTTTTGTGTCTGGTTTCTTTGATTTAGAAAATGTCTTCAAAACTCATCCATGTTATAGAATGTATATGTACTTTGTTCAGTTTTATAGTTTTGTAATACTCTATTTCTTCAGTATATATATATTTCTGTTTTGGATGTCACAAACAATTTTTCTGTCTCATGGAATAGCTACATAGAAGCAGAATTGATTACCACATCTTAGTGGCTATGGCTTTGATTTGCATTTTTCTCATGGCTAGTCCTTTCTTTTGCTGATTGTTCATTTGCAAGGAAGTGAGCCCTTACCCAAACTCCCAGACTCCAGGACTGTGAGATACAAATTTCTGTCATTTAGACCAGGAGACTATTGTATATTTGAATTTAGAAAGCAATGTAAAGTAAGATAAGAAGTGGGTTCTCATTTTTTCCTGTCTATCTATCTATCTGTCTGTCTGTCTGTCTTTCTATCATTGAGGGGGCAGAGGCAGGGTCTCTTATAGCTCAGACTGGCCTTCAACTCTTTTTTCTTTCTTTTTTTTTTTTTTTTTTCCATAAATATGTAAGAGGCCTAGGCCTTCAACTCTTGATCCTCTTACCTCCACCTTTCAAGAGCTGGGATTCTAGGTGTGCACCACCATGCCTGTCCCATTTTGTTATTGGCTTCTAAGTTTTATATAGTCTAGATCATGTATATAGCATTGTCTCCCTTCTGAGATGGGAGACAGTGTTTTGACTCTGTTGGTTGTGTTAAGTCTTAGGCTTTGATAAAGTAAATATCAGTTATGAATGACATGAACAATTTTTAATTTTCAAGATTAGTTACCTACCCTCTTCACAAGACTGTCAATGATCTGAGCTTAGGTAGAACTTGTCAGACATTAAATTTTTTGTTTTAATTTTATGTGTATGGGTGTTTTGTCTGTGTGTCTATGTGTATATATGTACACCACATGCATGCAATGCTTACTGAGACCAGAAGAAAGTTATGTGGTTTTCTGGGACTGGAGTTAGAAATGGCTCCAAGCCTTCATTTGGGTTCTTGGAACCATACCTAGGTCCTTTGCAAGAAGAGCAAGTACTTTTGTTTTGCTTTTAAGTCCTCTAATATTTCTTGGGATTTTTCCTTTCTCTTTGAAAAATACATGGTTTTCATTTAGTTGACACATGGCATTATGTATAAATGGAGTATAGTATGAGAGGTGAACTCACTAGTACTCTGGTAAGAGTATGATTATATAAAAAGCCTCAACTTTTATGTATTCAAGCAATTCCCCCACCCCTTTGTCTTATAAGGAGGCGAAGGTGGTGCCCAAGCTTGGATTTCTTTTTAGTGGAAGAGCAAGGTGCATATTATGTTTTTCTGGAGCACCACTCCATATGGGAATTTATGGTTCATCCAAAAGAATTTAGAAGCAGTAGATGATTGTGTTGTTGTAGTCAGTGGAGACATTTTAGGGACACCATGCTTTACCTACAGCTGCAGATATGGTTTTGCTATTCATATAATTGTATATAATCTATCAGTCATGACAGATTGGAGAAAATCTATAGAGACCTTGGCGCCCTGATGTCTATTAACCTCCTAGTTTAAGATGCCCAGGAGTTCATCGTGGTTACTGTTTTTGATGCTAGGGCTAGAACGTAGGGTATTAACTAGACATACTAAGTAAATACTCTTCCAAGATAGATTTTTTTGCTCTGTGGTCTTTTTTTTTCCCTTTCACTATAAGACCAATAGTGTCTGTCCAAGAACTAAGTTTACTTTAGCCTCAGTTTGTCACATTCTTTTTTTTTTTTTTTTTGAGACAGATTTTCTCTGTGTCTTGGAACTCGCTCTGTAGACCAGGATGGCCTTAAATTCAGAGATCTGCCTGCCGCTGCCTTCCAAGCACTAGGATTAAAGATGTGCAACACCACTGCCCAGGGCATTTTCATTCTTACTTGCTTATAGTAATTTTTATCAAGGTTTTGGCTCTGTCTGTCACTGAGTAATAGGTTATCATGTTATCACTTTCCCAAAGAAATGCAGGTTTGTTATATATATATTTACATATATATATAAAATGTATTATATATATAATCCATATTTCTTTTTAATTTGGTATATTCTTCTATTGATTGATTGTTAGCTTCACTACATTGTATCCGCAGACTGGTCTCTTCTGCTGTTGCATGGCCTTTGTTCAATATGTTCTTTGGTCTAGTTTATGGTCATTTTAAGCAAATGTTTCACATGTGCTTAGAAAACATTTGGCTTTCAATGTACATGGCTTTCTATGCAGCTATTTGATAAGCCTGGCTCCTGAAGTTTTTGCTGCTTGTCTCTGTCTAGTTTCTCTGAATTTCCAATTCTGAAAAGGAAATAAGCCTTTTTCACTGTGTTTGTATATATTGATTTCTTCTTCTGATTGTGGATGCCGTTCCTCTGTGCTTTGATGTCCATTACCACTGCTGTATTGTACTGTGATCCCTAGCTAAGCAGCACTGTTTTTTGTTTTTTATTCTTTTCAGCATTGGATTAAACTTCCAGTTATCATTTTTTTTTTCTTTCTGTTCCCTCCTTTCTTCAATTCCCCCTCCTTTGGAGAATTGTTTTTGTTTTTCTGAATTTGTTTTTATTTTACTCTCATCCCAGAATCTTGGTGAAACTGGTAGTTTCACCCTTCTTTGAAAGAAACCTTCCATCATTGTTGGTTTTCTACTTTGGTATTGAGTAATCATGAACAATCATACTAAGTTTCATCGTCACTAATGCTGGTTTGTCTTTTCCCTTTATTTAATATCATTCCATAGGGAGCGGAGGGATGGCTCAGTGGTTAAGAGGACCAGCTGCTTCCCCAGAGGACTGGGTTCAACTCCCAGTCTTCACATGGCTGCTCACAATCATCTATAACTCCAGTCCAGGGAATCCCACACCTTCTTCTGGCCTCTGCAGATACCAGACATGCATGTGATGCACAGATATATATGCAGAGAAAACACTTATTCACATAAAAATAAAATAAAAATTAGCAAAAAAAGATCATTCCAGAGGTGTGTATTGTTATCCAGATCAAGAGTTATTTTCTGAGGTGACCATTTGCATGATAGAAGGGAAAATGAAGAAAAACAGTGTTAACAGTTGCTACCAAATTATTTAGCCATGCTCATTGCATAATCACATTTTAAAAATAATATGTGTGTGCCAGTCTGAGCTTTACATTATCATGCTTCTATTTATTCATTTAATGAATTTATAGACAGGGTTTTACTATGTAAGCCTGACTGATCTGGGACTTGCTATATAGAGTAAACTAGCCTCATACTTGTGCTGAGCCTCCTGTCTCTGCCTCCCAAGTGCTGCCTTTACACTTGGTTTACACTTCTGAATTTCCTTTTTCTTTTTACACAACATCTTGTGTTGGTTTTTTGTTTGCTTGCTGGGTATTTTTATTTATTTGTTTATTTGTAACACAGGCTGATCCCCTCAAGTCATTCAGTTTCAGTTTTCCAAGTGTTGGAAGTATAAGCAAGAAAGTTATAGTTTATGAGTCATATGCTGAAGAGGCTGAGGCAGAAAAATCACTTGAGCTCAGGAAGTTTGACAACATAGTGAGACCCTGTCTCAAAACCTAAAGCAGAACAAAACCCAAACCAATCTAAACAAAAACAAAAATGAGACAAAAACAAAAATATGTAATTGCATGATGGACAGAATGAAAAGATTGTTGTTGTTACTAGATGTCTGTTTTCTCATTATGATAAAATACCATTTTTGTCTTTTTGTGCATTTCTGTATGAGTTCTTTGTTGCTATTGGGTGCTAATCTTAATCACTAATAATTGTCTCCACCTTCCACTTGTATATTATTTTTATTATATCTTGTATTATGGAAAATTTAAGTGTTGGTGTTGATTTTGTTAAGTCTGTGTATATGGCTTTTGCTTCTTAAACTCTGTGGCCTAAAGTCTGCCCGATCTATGAAAGCATCCTTTGTACTTCAACCATTGGTTTTATGTGGAAGACTTTATCAACTTGAAATACAGTGTGGTCTGAGTTAAGTGTCTAATTTTACTTCAGAAATTTTAGAGAGCTAATTGCCTTTCTTTAAACTTTTTTCACATTTATTGATTGATTGATTGCATTTTTGGGGGCCTGGGCATGTATGTGTATGTTTGCCTACCTGTGGCAGTCAGAGGACAGCTTTTGGGGGTTAGTTCTTTCAATTCACCAGGTGTGACCTGGGGATTGAACTCAGGTTTTTAGGTTGGTGGCACTTGCCTTTACCCACTGTGCCATCTCATTGGACCCCAGTTGTCTTAATATTATGAAGTAGAGAGAGAAGAAAGGTAGTAAGAACAAGATTAACAATGGTGGAGAACTCTGGAGCTGTTTTCCAAATACTTTTAGTTCTGTATCCTTGGATCTTGCCTTAGAAACGATCAACTTTTCACAACTTTGTAGGATTGTCTCTAATGGATTTAGGATGTAGACACAGATCTTTTAGCCTATGTTGAAAGATCTTAAAAAAGCCTATCTTTTCTAACCTGTGTTGTCTTCTCATCCATGAAAGCAGAACTCTGATCATAGATCTGGGACAAGATCTGTTTACTCTATGTTATTATAGATACATTGTGATATTGGGGCTGGGAGAACGGGTGTTGACTTCTGATGAGGGACATTGGTGGTGGAGAACAAGAAGGCTATGGCCAAGATGGTATTTCAGAGTGAGCAGAGATGTCTGGCTCCCCATCTCCCATGTACCAAGCTAATTATTTTGGTTATATTTATCCTTACACAACATTCCTTTGCCCTCTTCTCTGAGAGTACCACAGTGTAATGTTCCTGCTTTAGAACCCGCTCTTAGCTTCCATCCCTGGCCCTCATTTGAACTACCTGTTTTAGGGATATGGATTTGAAAAACAAAACAAGTAAAATATACTCACTTAGCCAATTACCATTTTTCATTTTCTTCCAGATATGTCTGTGTTTACTGTGTCTTTTTCTTTCTTTTCAGTATGGAACGTGAAACTGAAAATAGTAGCTCAGAATGTTCCTGAAGAAGAAGAAGTTTCCTTTGAGGTAGAAATGGAAGGTTTTACAAGAGAGGGTCCCTGCTTCCCCATTTTAGGTGACAATTGGGACTGTGAGAACCAGGAAAGGCATTTGAGGCAATCTCCTTTAACTGATGAGAAAACAGGGACTCAGGAAGTAAATTGTGACCATCTTAATTTGAGGGAGCATTTGAGTACAAATCCAGCCCTTCTGGCATCTCAGAGAGTTCCCACAACAAATGGCTTTCAGGGTCATAACTCAGATATTAAACCTTATTGTGAGCAAACCTTACTTAGTTGTCTTCAGAGTTACACAGTTAAGGGAACTGGTGACCATGATGCTTGTGAAAAAGCCATCCATCCTTCCATGGAAGTAACTCAGCTTGTAAGAAACCAAATGAGAGACAAACCCTATAAATATGCAGAAAGTATTAACTCTTTAAACCACTTTACCACTCCCCTCTGTGATAAAAAAATTAAGAAAAGAAGCAAGAAATTTTACAAAGGTAAGGACTTTGGGGCTCTGAGCTCATCTCTTAATGAAAAAAGAAGCCATTCTACTGAGAAACCCTATAAATGTACTGAGTGTGGCAATTGTTTCAAACGAAACTCTTCCCTCGTTTTACACCATCGAACTCACACTGGTGAGAAACCTTATACCTGTAATGATTGTGGAAAATCATTCTCCAAAAACTACAACTTAATTGTACATCGAAGGATTCATACAGGAGAGAAACCCTATAAATGCAATAAATGTGGGAAAGCTTTTAGTGATGGATCAGCTTTGACACAACACCAGAGGATTCACACAGGTGAGAAGCCTTATGCATGTCTAGATTGTGGAAAAACTTTCAACAGAAATTCATCCTTGATTTTGCATCAAAGAACTCATACAGGGGAAAAACCGTATAGATGTAATGAATGTGGGAAACCCTTCACTGACATCTCCCACCTTACTGTACATCTCAGAATTCACACTGGTGAGAAGCCCTATGAGTGTAGCAGATGTGGAAAGGCTTTCCGAGATGGCTCATACCTCACCCAGCATGAGAGGACACACACTGGAGAGAAGCCTTTTGAATGTGTGGAATGCGGGAAGTCCTTCAGTCGAAACTCTCACCTCATTGTGCATCAGAAAATTCATTCTGGGGAGAAACCCTATGAATGTAAAGAGTGTGGGAAAACTTTCATTGAGAGTGCATACCTTATCAGGCATCAGAGGATTCACACTGGCGAGAAGCCCTATTGCTGTAACCAGTGCCGTAAACTCTTCAGGAACATCGCTGGACTTATTCGGCACCAGAGGATTCATACTGGTGAAAGGCCTTATGAGTGTAGTCAATGTGGAAAAGCTTTTAGGGATAGCTCCTGTCTGACCAAGCACCAGAGGATTCACACTAAGGAGACTCCATACCACTGTGTGAAGTGTGGAAAGTCCTTCAGGCAGAACACTCACCTGGTAGTACATCAGAGACTTCATAACAGGGAGGGTCCTAGCCAGTGTCCTCAATGTGGAAAAATATTTAGAAGGAGCTGGTGTCTTGTCCGACATCAGAGGACACACCTTGAAGAGCAGCCCATGGAAGCATAATGAAAAAGGGCCATACTTTCTTGAGTAAACAAAGGAGGTATGTCATATGATTTTCCTTCTTAAGAGAAAAGAATTCTTTATCAAAAAAGTTGAATATAAGATATTCTATTATCCCATTAGTTTTGTTATTAGGGAACTCCTGAAGAGAGGATTGAATGATAATCAGTGTAGTAAAGGCTTCAGGGATGATTCAGCCTATACCAAACATGTAGTGCTTATACTGAAATAAAGCACTGGAAGTGAGGAAGGTATTTCTCTAAAGATACCCATCTACATTTATATCAGGATATTGGAATTGAAAAGAACCTGTGAATTTATTTAGTATGTAACTAGTAGAAGGCATCTTTAATAGTGATTGTACACCTTATTGTGTACAATCAAATGCTTATTAGACTCAAAGCTTGTAAATGTAATTAGGAAGAAGAAGCTTTTGTAATGTTTTTTACTGTCTTTCCTGTATCAACAAAGGCATAGCACTGAGATGTCTTACACAGACACCCACAGCAACTACAGGATTTGGTTGAGTTTTCTATTTGAATGCACTTCTGTCTTATGATCCCATCAGAACACAGAGGACTCATTTAATGAGGTGAAAGTGGATATAGGAGTTGCTTTTGATTGAAATGAAGTTGTCCCTTTTAACACTAAAATATTCTCCTTGGTGGAAAGGGCTGCTTCTAAGAAATAGATCCATTGTTTTGGTTGTTGAAAAAGAAAATATTAAATTGTTGTATTTCAGTTATCACCTGCCTTCACCATTGTTGATAATTTAGGATACAAATTTGTTTAGTGTTCACATCCTTTAAAGCAAAATTCAAAGGTTTTATTGCCATTCTAAAAACATTTAGATCATTGCAAAAGAAGGCATAAAAATAGATTTATTGTTATTATAACTATGTAAGCATGCTCATTTTTGGTTGTAGGTTAGCAGTGGATAATATAAAAATTAAGGGGCTTTCTTAGAAGATTATGATTGTGTAGTTTCCCTTTTTTATATATTTTTATATAATTGTAATGTATATAAAAGTGAAGCTAAAAGGAAGTGAATTTTTTAAAATGATTTCTGCCAGTAGATACAGGCCAAAGATCTTGTCAGACATCCTACAAAGGCTAGATCATGGCTGGAGGAAGCTGTAAGCATCTACAGCTGTATATTGACAGAAGCTTCTCTGGAATCAGAGCATTCTCAAGCCTAGAATCATATCTTTTGAAACTTGGATATAGAGATTATAGCACTGGAGGGAGAGGGGTATGAATCTAAGGATAGGGAAGAGAATGTTATAGGAAAAGCTGGAATAATCTTAGCATGCCCTTTCTCAGTGCGGGCTGATTGAAAGCTAGACAATTTGGTTGATAGCTTCAAAGGCCTGTGAGTAGATCTCATGGAAATTTTGACTTGACCCTGTCTTCTATCTTCTGATTCCAATGGAGGGAGAATCATAAAGTAGATTCATACAGAAGTCTTCTGTATGATATATCAGTCTTCTGAACGGATGTCCTTCTTTGACAGCAAGATGGTTATCATATGATGGGGATGGAGAGATAGTGGTTAAGAGCATTTGTTATTCTTGCAGAGAACCTGAGTTTGGTTCCCAGTATCCACTTGGTGGGAAGCTACTGGTGCCTAGTGGATAGAGGCCAAAGATGTCAGACATCCTACAAAAATTGCCCTTGAAATAATTTATCATCTCAGAATATTAAGAGTCCTGAGATTGGGACTTATTTTCCAGCCTTATCATTAAAAAGATTGGTCATATGTTCCTCTCATATGCACTATCATTTGTAACATACAGATTGTCTCTATAATGTTATGTGTATGAATAAGATAATATAAAACCCTAGTGGACTGTCTACATCACTCAAGGAACGGACACTTGGTGTTGTGCTCAAGTAAAATATGCTTGTACTGTTAGTGTTGGCAGTGTCTGTGCTTCTTGATTCTACATTCCAGATTCTGGAACAGGAAATCAACACCAGGCCAGCTATGGCCCCAAGGAAGAGGTGTCAACTATGAAATTAGAGTGAGTGAGTCCACATGGGGTTTGTGTGATGTGTGAATTGTCCCCTTGCTCTTTTCTAAAGTTAGTTTTCTCAAATGATCAGGAATAACTGCTGTAATGAAAATAACTAATCTGTAGGACATGGACACATATGACTCAAGAGGGAAAGGTGAGATTTGAATTGGGAGAGTTCCAGATGACTTCCAGTGCAGCCTGGGCAATTGCCAGTGTTTAGCCTGAATGACTGAAAAATAGGACAAAGACTGTCCTGGACTATCAAGATGGGTCTCACTTAATCACATAGGCACTTAATTAGGCAGAGAACTTTGGCTGGAATCAGATGGAAAAAGTGAAGGTGAAGTATTTAAAAGAATGAACGTTTAATTTACTTTTCCTATCTTTGATGAACACTTAATTTACCATTCTAAGCTTTAATGAGCACTTAGTTTACTGTTCCTGGCTTTAAGGCTCGAGGATCCACAATATGAGTGGCTTCTGAAAGCCAGAGAGGCAAGAAAATGGTTTCTTCCCAACGTCTCCCCAAGGAGCTATTCCTGTTCTTACTAGTCCAGTGAAAATACGTAGATTCAAGTCCATAACTGGTTTTAACCCACTAGTTTTTGTGGTAATTTGTTATATTTAGTTGATCTACTTCTCTTGATATTTCTTTTTAGACTCCTGACAGAAGTATTCTGAATATGTTCTCTTAGCAATCAAGTTAAGTAAACCAACCCCTTCTACTCCATACCCATTACATTTTTAATGAAAAAGACTTTTGGCTCTGCTGACTGCTGTGCTTTCATCATTTTAACAGCTCTGAATTCTAGTACTAGTTTGGAAAATTAAACATTATGACTGTATCTGGGTGGTGGCACTTATCTTTAATCTCAGAACTCTGGAGGCAGAGGCAGGCAGATCTCTTAAGTTTGAGGTTAGCCTGGTCTACAGTAAGTTCCAGGACAGCAGGGCTATATAGAGCCCCTGACCCAAGCAACAACAAAAATTAATTATAAATCCTGTGAATGAGTAGCCTTAGTGAAAAGAAATCTCAGAAAAGATAGAGTAGATTTTCCTTAACTTTACTCCCATCTCCTCTCACTTGATTGCCCAAGAAGAAGGCACATTTCATCATGATAAAGCTTGTACAGAGCCCAAGAATGTGCTGTTTAGAGCAGGGTGCATATCCAACATGGAGATTGTGGGGTCACTTATAATTATGGTCACTGTCTTACTAGTTTCCATTAATCCACATCCTTTTGATTTTAAAGGATGCTATCATATGCTGTCAGTGCAGAGTATGCCTGCAGATTGTTCACTAGACTGGTCCAACTTCATGTCTCTCTTAGTTTAGCAACTGTACAGAGAAGAGTTGGTACTATAGCAGAAAGCAGAACAAACTTTACAATTCAGCAGGGGAGAAAAACAAGTACCACTATGTATCAGATGGTTGTGATGCCTGGGACGAAATGAAGCTGAGAAGAGGAATGGGGTTTATATTTTGAATAGAAGTGATTACAATGTCAAAAATGGGTTAGGGAAGGCCTGAGATGTTTCATAAGGACCAATGAAACACGAGGGAATGGATCAGTAGTTACTGGGGGAAGACTATTCCTACAGAGGCAAGAACATACCATATTTGAAAAGCCAGGAAACCACTGTGACTAGAGTGGCATGATGTGGCATGGGGCCAGAAGGTAACAGGGAACCCTTAATTAAAGTACTGCTGCCAGTCCTCCCACCAAAAAATTAGAGACAACTATGATGACCTGCATAACTGTTGAAGATACTCTTCCCAAGGTGTATTGCATATTCAGTCCTGTGACTTTAAGCTTGATCATTCACTTCCTTTCACAATGAAGGGCAATTGCATGTGTGATAAGTGATGTCAACAAGAGGTTAGGATTTAGAGAGGAGAAACCTTCCATGATGTGAGTTTCACATAGGAGCAATTAAGTCAAGGTGAAACTTCTTCATGAGCAGCAAGTGGCTTCCTTCATTCATAAGGAAGTGGCTTCATTGCAGAGGCAGGTAAGGAGAACAAAGTTTTGCTAAAGAAAAAGTCCATTTGCAGAATAAGATCTATGATTGTGGAAAGATAAATGCTTTCAGAATATGAACAAGTCCTATCAGAAGAAAATAAATACATAGGAGTAGACTTGATAACCAAAGGTACTCAGCATTAAGTATCATTTCTGATAAAATAGACTAGCATTCAAGTTTTAAAAAATTAAGTGTACTAGAGCAGTGGCTGGTCTTCCAGAAGTCCTGAGTTCAATTCCCAGCAACCACATGGTGGCTCACAACCATTTATAATGGGATCTGATGCTCTCATGTCATATAGGCATACATACAGAGTGCTCATATGCAAAAATAAATAAATCTTTAAAAAATCAAGTATTCTATTCAGTGAGTTTTACTCTCACAAGGTGGTTCAATCACCTGCATTCTTCAATTTCAGCACATTTTCACTATGGAAAAGACCTTTGTACCTGATAGTATCCTCCCACTCCTATGACCTTGGCAACCACGAATCTATTTTCAGTGTGTATTTGCCAATTCTATACATTGCACATCAATGGAAAAACAAAACATATGGTCCTTTGTAACTTCATTTAGCATAATGTTTTGAAGCTTCGTGTAATAGGAACCCTTTTGTGGCTGAAAACTTTTACCATATGATTAAAACCATATTTTGCTTATTGATGGACATTTCAGCTTCCACTGTTTAGCTATTAAGAATAATGGTGTTTTGAACACATATACAAACTCATGCCAATATAGTTTCAGTAATCTTGGGTAGATACTTAGGAGGAGTGAAATTACTGTGTCTTTGTTTGCATTTTGAAAAACTGATATCCATATCACTCCAACTATTTTACATTTCTACCAGTGTTGTATGACTGCTTTGATTTCTTCATGTCCCCACCAACATTTGTTATTTTTTTGTCCTAGTGGTGTGAAGTGTTATCTTGTGGTTTTGGGAAAATATTTTATATAGTTAAAATCTATATCCTATCCCTATCAGCAATTTTTTTCTGCAAGGGAAAAAATGTTATATGTGTACCATATAATTTCTGCTGCAGCTACTCAGCCACAAATGACTGTAATGTGACTGTAGATGACTTGTAAGCAAATGAATGTGAATGTGTCTAATAAAATTTTACCTATGGACTCTGAAACTTGAATTCTCTGTATTTTCACTGTGAAATACAATTTTAAAGTCATTTAGCAAAATAAGACAGGCTTGGTGGTACTCATCTGTAAAGCTCAGTACTTAGAGGCAGTGACAGGAAGATTGCCACAGGTTCCAGGCCAGCAAGGACTACATAGACTCAAAAACCCAAAATAAAACCATTAAAAAACAAAACAAAACAAAACAAAAAAAACCTCTTGTCCAAACACACAAGGTTTGGAGTAGCTTTTACCAAGGAGCTATAATTTGATCACCCCTGCTGTAAACAAACTATTTAAATAGAAAGTTTCTAGTTGAGAATATCAAACTTTTTTATCTTGGCATATGCAAACATTTTAAAGTGAAATAAATATCGGAGAGGGTATAGGAAATTTAAGAACTCTCGTCCATCAGAGAATCTATATTATGTAAGTGAAAAGACAAGCAATAGAGAAAAGACCACTGCAGTTCATGGAGCCTACATAGGAATGGTATTCAAATATGTTAAGATCCAGCATCTCAAAGAAAACTCATTGAAAGTGTTGGCAAACACTTTGAATCTGTGTTATTACGAATGAAGAAATCCAACTGGCCGACAAATTCACGGCAGTGTTCAGTTTCAATACATGTTCTAGAAATCCCAGGATACTGTATACGGATGAATAATGTGAAAGTGTTGACAAAGGCCATGTCAAAGCAACTTGATAAGTCAACTCCGAATTTTGCTTTTCACTGAGGAGGAAGTCTTTTATGTGACTCTGTAGTTTCATTAACAGTTGCAGTCCTAGGCACTCCCTAGCCAAGAGACCGTGGACATTCACAGCAGTTTCTAGTTAAAAAGGGTGGGGTGGTCTCTTACTATGTAGCCCAGGCCAGAGTGGTAACCCTTTATGTAAGCCAGGCTGGCAGAGAACTCACTCAGAGATCCTCCTTCCTGGGTCTCCCAAGTACTGAGTTTGAGAATACTGATGTTGCAACTGCGAGCCATAAACCCTGGCACATAGCCATTTCCTCTAACAATTCTGGAAAAACAGTACTATTTTCCACCTATGATGCACCATGGAAAGCTATACCGCAACATAAAAGTGAAGCCATAAGCTGGCTGCTTTATGTGGCACACCCCTGTACTCAGAGCATTTGTACCACAGCATTTGAAGGGCGGACTAGGAGATGTTTTTTCAAATGCTGCGGTGCAGCTGAGTGTGAGGGAGTAAGAAGTTAGTCACTTCCTGATAGGCAGGCAGTTAAGGAGAGAGCCGTGGTTAGGGAGTAGGGGTGATGAATTTACAACATGGCTGGCTTCTTCCTCACCCGAGACAAAATCCTGGCAGCTTAAACAAAGGCATTACGAGCTTTTTCTCTGCCAGTAGGGCCTGTGTTGATAGACCGGCTTAAAAGTTCAAGGCTGGATCCAAACATGTTTAAACAGCAGAAATAGGTCAGTCAGCTTTCCTGTCTGTCTTCAAACTGACCGATCCTAAATTAACGGAAGACCCTTCAAAGACTTTTAACAACAATAACAACAACAAAACCGTCTCGGAGAACAAGCTGGGTTTCTGCTTTGCAGAGGCCCTTTTTTTCTGTGTGTTCCCTTA